GGGGTTTTTACCCTTTTTATTGTAGGAGTCTTGATTTGGTTTCTTTTTAAAGACTTCTACCACAGAGACCCTTATCTTTGTTTTCTGTTTTTATTTTTTCTTCCTCTCTTCTTATATAAACTTTTTGTGCTTCTCTAAGCAACTCCTCAATTAACTTCTAATTCTATTCATCTAATTTTTGTAACTTTCTTGATATCAGGTCAGCTGTTAGTTGCAAAATTAACTTTGAGGAGGACTTGTTCCAATTGACTCTAGGGATCCGGCCCAGAGTTCTTTCTCATTTGGTCTTTTAATCTCTGTAAAAAGGAAGATAGAGTTTCCTCCTTTTTTTGTTGAACCTTAAATACTTTAGAAATGTTTTGTGACTGGAGGACAGATTCTTTAGTGCACATGATTATCAAATTTCTAAAACCTTGCATTTGAGTCCAGTCATTTTTAACATTGTTGTCACATTTAGGGTCTTCATTTGGGAACTTTTGATCTGCTGTGCCTACATCTGGTCCTGGAAGATGAGTTTTCTCCCAGGAATGCATAGTTGCCCTTCTTTGTTCCTTCCCCAAGAATAAATTGTTCAGGACAAGATATCAGTTCAGCCCATATGTGTAAGTTAGAGCCTAGAAATTGTCTAATTTTTCCCTAGCCCCAGATGATCTTCAATTAATAACCACACCTCCTTTCTTAAGGCTCCTGATTTCATTGATAGAGAGGGGAACATTAACAAATCCAATTTGCTGTCCTCCCCTTGGTACCTCATGAAGAGGAAACATTACAACTGGATTGCTTCTCAGGGAGGGGAAAACTTTCTAAGTTCCTTCTACATTGTTCTAATTCTCTTTTTAAATTTGGAAATGAAGGGGCCATTGGTGAGGTGTCCCTCTCTCTCCCGGGCTCCTTGATTACTTTCTTTCCCTCCTTGAACCTCTTCATAGTGGCCATCATCCTGAAAAATTCTGCAGCTGTACATAGGGTGGGGGAAAACAGAATAAAGGATCCCATGACTTTTTATTTTGAATTTTCTCCTCTTCCTTGAGGGGAAACCTTGGTGTTGACCCTGAAAGGCAACAGAGGGAAGAACTCTCCTCTTGTGAGGCTGAGATTTTATCATTTACAAAGAGGACTAACACTTATCAGATCCAGTCCTCCTCAGACCCAAACTTGGGCCAAAATACAGAAGTCCCTTTGATTGGCTCCCTGGGCCAAGAAAAACAATATTTAATCATTTTCCTCTTATTTTTATCCTTGGTCTGAGAACTGCCTTCCAAGTTCTCAAACATTCTTCCTGATGGATTACCACACAGGAGGGGGTGGGTGTCCAGGGTTTCTTTCTTCCCTGACTCCCTAGGCCTAGATTGTTTGTTCCTCATTCTCAAGAGATCCATGTTCTTGAATTTCCTTGGGCACTCACACCCCTCCCTCACAACCTGATCCCAGTGGAAGTTTCTTGCTCAACCACAAGAATCACTTCTGTCTCTGGTCATATCTCTTACAGGAGGATGGAACCGCAGATTCAATACTGCACTCACTTTGTCTCAAGTACAGGTCTCAGCCACACACACTCAACCTTCAGAGGATGCGACCCAACCACCAAAGGATAACTTTAGTCCAGTTTTTCCTATCTTGACTCCTGCATGAAATTATGGTTGCTGCCTTTTTTCTTTTTCTTTCTCATGTTGGTTGCATCATCTTCAGAATGTTCTCCCATCTTTCTGTGGTGAGATGCAAAGGGGGGATGAGCCACCTGAATCTGGGGTGGGAGGCATCTCCTCCTTCCACATAGGGTCGCTACAGGCTGATGCAAAAATTCCAAATAAGCCCCAAATTGTGAAAAAATGATCACTACTCCAGCCCCAAAAGAATAAACTCAGACATGAGAAGTGCAATGGAAGTGAGATGTTTAATCGTAGGAACTTGCAAGGAAGGTGCCTGTACAACAAACAGGCACATTTGATTTGAAAAGCAGTGAGCTTATATTCTCCAACTCACAATATTCCTTCCTGCAATCCTTCTTTGGCTGAGATCAGGGAGTTAAAAATCTATAAAGAGGGCACCTGTTACTTTCCCCTTTGACACCGCCCCCCCGCACCCTTTGCACATTTTTTTCTGTGTGGTTCTTTATGACTTTTTGGTTCCCAAGACTAAAATTTACGAAAACTTGTTTGCCTAGCAATTATCTCTTACTTCAGTAACTTATCTTTGAGTTTAGATTCTTTAGGTGTGAATCATTTTGCACCCTATATGTCCACGATTTAACCCAGTTATCTGTGGATAAGGGTATTAGCCAGCCACTAAAACTCTACTGAAGTGTTTGAGGTTAAAATGAAATATATACCATCTAATTATTTTTTCTTACACTTAGCAACAAAAAGTTTGGTGATGGGCGACCAAATGTGGCCAGTTTTTGTTAGTGTTACAAATACCTTCTAATTCCTCAGCAAAGTTGAATAAGGCCTAGGAAAATATAAAGAGGATAGAGATGTCTGGGAGAAATGCAAGACTAATTCTGAATGAGGAGGTGAGAAAAAGTGGATATTTGGAGCACAGTGTTGAAGGGAATAAAAGGGCATGAGCATAGGACACACAGAAAGGAGGGCATATTATGGAAAACAAACCAATAAATATTTTTGATTAAGTTTTGAGATCTGAAAATCCTAGGGTAAGGTGCTGTGAGATTACAGCTTTAGTAACTCACCTAATTTAAGAATTTCATATGCCCAGCACTCCTCACAAAGGGTAGGCTCCAGTTGTCCTGTATGTTTTAAACTTCCAAAAATGTGCCTAGTAATAGGTTCTGTATTTATATTATGACTTCAGCAAAAGAAACAGGTACTTGAGTCTTTTTATCTTCCCAACCTGAATCTATTTTCCAGATGTACATATCGCTATTATACTTCTGTTTACGAAAATTAGGTTTACTAAAAAATTGGAAAAAAACCAGGAAATTATCTGGACAAAAGTAAAAGAAAAAAGCACAGTTACAATCATCACTCTATTTCTTAACTTACTCAACCATTTCCAATTTGATTTCATGGATTGAACTGTAAGGGAAATGGTGGCTATTAGTGACTAAGAGGAAGGTGGGTAGAAGAAAGACTGCTACTTTTCTGTTTTTGTAGCCTAGAAAAGGATGAGTAATCCTCTTTATAAATACAACCACTTAAAAATTAACAATGGGAAGATACAGTCATGGTAATAGTAATCAAAGAATGGCAGATTAGAACCATAAGGAAAAGGGTCAATTTTTGACCTCTGAAATTAACAAAGACAAAAACAAATGGCAAGAACTTGCATGGTGGTGAAGGATTTGGTAGATCATTCACTGTTGGAAGGGAGGGGAAAATGGGGACCAGAGCTGGAGGATGACACAATCCGCATGTGATCAGGAGCTGATTTGAACTCAAATTCTTATATTCCCGGGCTTCTTTTCCCCTCTGGATATCAGCTCCTTACTACCCTCCAGACTTGCCTGCTTGTGGCCAAGGGAAAACAAAAGATAAATCCCAGAAGGTTGATGTGAAGGAAATGTTGGGATACCTGTGGTAAGAGTGGTTGAATCCAGTCATTCAAATAGGTCCACACTTTCTCAAAATCCCTACAAATTCATGAAAGATAACTATATATTTTGAAGGGAGAAAACAAAGAATAGGTGGAAGTCTCGTGAGAGACCACTAGATATTTACTGATAATTTAGAAAGGGTCAGCTTCTCTCATACTGGAAATATTTCTCTTTATCTTTCTCACTGTTTTCCCTAATTCATTGAAGAAAATGATAAGTCTAGAGTGTGGGTTGGTGGATGGAGAAAAACTGAAATCATGGGATGGAGACAAGATAAAGTTAAAGATCATTTGAAAATAGTTCCCTCGTTCAGCCCTGGCCTGCAGTTGTAGGGTGAAGCAGGGGTGGAGATGGAGAGTCTTGCAAGGACAGGGGCTGAGGATGAGCACAGAAATCCTGGAGGAAAGGAAAAGGACAAGAAGGGAATCAGACAGTAGGAAATTTAGAGCAGCAACAGTGAGCAAAATTCTGCATTTAAAATGATGTGTGTCCGTGGGAGCTGTTGTGGGATATGTCAGTCAAAGCCTGGGTGTCTGAGAACTCCCAGAGGACATGACCCCATTGTTAGTGCAGGCACAGGACGGGCTTACTTATGTAACCATAAATCAACCATGTATGTGCAGCAAGGTCATACAGCTGTTGTTTGTCAGTATGCCTTATTGTGTGATAACAGCTACTATAACTGCTGGGAAAATAAAGTTTTGCTGCTGCTGCTTGTGCCAATGTCTGCTCTATGTGCTCTCTTTTCTTTAGGACTCTGAAATGAAAAATCACCCCTTCAGCCACTTGACCCCAACAGTATCTTATCTTTGGAGCTGGTTGATCCACAAATTCCCTTTTTCCCCACACTTTTTCTTTTATTTCCAGGTTCCAGGGTTTGTGTTTAAAGACACCTCCTCCAGGCAAAGAAAGCAGAAACCTGTCTTGCAGCTGCACAGGTCAGTGTGAGGAGGCACTAAGACCAAGATTTGTGAGGATAGGAATTGGAAAGGAAAAAAGCTGGGTAAAATTTATGCCCACCTCCATGCCTGTTCCTCTTTTTCCAGCCATTGGAGAAGCCATTAACGTGGTCTGCTGGTGAAATCCTGAATTCCAGAGAGGGAAGGGTAAAGAACTGTGCTTGGGAGTAGGTCACCAGAGAGATTTCCAATTTCTAGGAGCTGGATTTGTGAGATGGGCATAAGAGATTAGGTGAATATCTTGCTTCAAAGAGAAAATGACTGTTCCTGATTCAAAAGTAATGTAGGGCCAGGGATTTAGCTCAGTGGTTCCGCTGCCTGCCCCGCAAGCGCAAGGACCCAAGTTAGATCCCCTGTACCAGAGAGAGAGAGAGAGAGAGAGAGAGAGAGAGAGAGAGAGAGAGAGAGAGAGAGAAGTAATGAAGCAATCCATGTCTACATTTTCTCTTTGGGGTTAAATAGAAAACAGCAACACCACTTGAAACTCATGCAAAGAAAATGAAGGAAAACCTAAGTGCACCCTGCCAACGAGGGAGGTAGGACCACCCCTATGGAAAATTTGAATGCCATCAAATGGAAAGGAACTTTAGACAAAGTCTGCTTCAGTCTCTGGAGGAATTTAAAGAGGACATAGACTATGGGCATTTTAAGAATGAAAAAAATGACAAAAGTGGGAGATAAGATGGAAAGGTTTTTGGAAGAGATAAAAGGTCTGAGGAAAAAAGTTATGGCTCAGCTTTGTGACTATGGGCATTCTCAGGACTGACCATATCCTATAAAATGCATTTCCCCATGAAATCATTTATTTTCTATTACTTAATATTGCCATTGCTTTCTGTCTGCACTTTCTTGCTAAATATTTGCAATCATTCTATTCTAACCTTTTAGTGTTGGTTAGATTTACATATGGGTCTTGGCAAGATCTCATCTTTTTACCCAAACTTACTCATTTAATGAGGAGGTCTCATTTGTTCCATGAGAAGATGCTCAATGTACATTGTAAAATAAAAATAACAAGCTAAAGAAAAGTGCATGAATATATATGTATATCATATGTACATTTGTATATGACATAATGCAAAACAAAGTGTTTGAATAAATATAACACCAAATGTTAACATTAATTTGTGTAATTTGTATTTTCTTCTTTTTTTGTTTTTGTCTATTTGCACCTTCTCATTTTCCAGAAAAAATGAAAATATATGTGTATATTATTTGTATTACACACACACAAAAAAAGAAAACTAGACACAATAAAAGAACTTGTCAATCATTTTTGGAAGGCAATGGAACACTCAGTAAACTCCTAATAATGGAAGTGTAAAACAGAAATCTAAACTTCAAATTATGTTGAGATCTCTAAGCCAGAGGAATAAAACTGGAAATTATTATAAGGGACAGTATATTTAAGATTTGGTCTTTGTGTGGGAAAATATTTGCCTCAGAAGGCTGCTGTGGGGAAAAATGATCCACTATGAACTCAAAATTCTACTTGGTGGCACCTTGTCCAACATGTGCATATAGAACCTCAGCCTGCTGTAAAAGAATCACTTCTTTGAGAGAGGGCCTGGCATGACTCAACCTGTGCTCAGAAACAATTTCAATAGGTAAATGTTGGAGGTTCCATGTCCCTCTTACCTATTGAACCCTGCCAAAGTCTTCACTCCTAGGTCCCGCTGTACCTACTGACCATGTTTGCCTCTTGTGCAGGGTCATTCACTCTCTGCTGGCCATCACCTCTGCTGGTGCACTAGAGGCCTTAAGTGCCAAACACTACTGAGTTTCTGGGAGTCCTCACAGAGTTGAACTCCCACTATCCACTTAAGCCTCTTGTTGCTTTATAGTAGTGACACTTCACATAGGTGGAACACTCTAGAGTCTCTATGGTCGTAATATCTTGCATAGTCCTCAGCAAAGCAATCTTTTCTGTTTTCAATCACAGGATCCTGCTTTGAGAGTTGAACCTGCATAAAAGACATCCTGGTGTAGTTAGAGTTGCTGCTATTTAGTCTAAGGAGTAAGATCTTGTCCTCCTTTCCTGAGCTAATCTCTCCCTGAAGTCCCTTGCCAACCCTTTCTTACTGGTTCAGGAGACTCTCAGAGGACATGTATAAATTGCACAAATTACTATAGGTAACAGATCTAAGTAATCGGTCACCTTCTCTCCACCCTCTTGAAACATGTAAATATACATATATACATATGTATATACATATAAATATATATGTTTTATAAGACTAATATATACTAATATACTAAAACTAATATATATTCTTTTATGCATTTATATTAGTCTTACAAAGTATGTACATGTATACAGTATATGTATATATGACTCTGCACCATTGATTATTTGAGTACCTATCCTGTATTTATCTTTTAGTCATGTATTGCATGTAGCAAATGTGGTTTCCAAGATTATTTCAAGGAAAGCAAAAGTATCAGCTAAGGTGGTTTCTAAGTCTTAGAAGTGTTTTATATTGTATTTTGTGGACCCACCGTACATGCCAAGGAGGCTGGGAAATGAAAGAGAGCACATACAGTACTGTTTGACCAAGTAATCTTACTTTCAGGATTTTAATCTGTAGAAATAAATGCATGCACACAAGTATGTACATTACAGGTAGAATTTTGTTTAGTACCAAAATGTGGAAACAATTTTATGTAATTTAATAAGAAACTGGTTGAACAACTTAAGGTATAGCCACACTATATGCATCAGTTAGTGCTTACTAGAGAAACAGATTTAATGCAAGATATACAAATATATAAGAATTTATAAGATTGGCTTACAATGGCTATCCACAAAGTCACGTGTAGAAGAGTGCAAAGGGTCTATCTATGTGCTGGAGATCGGAAAGATGCAAAGACCTGGAGCTCAGTGTAGTGGCCCATGTGAGCCCATATCAGGAGGCCAAAGGTTCAGCTATGCAATGCTGAAACGTCTGTGCTGAAGGCTGAAGAGTCTACCTTGGAAGCCAGGAGACAATGTCCAAGGTGAAGGCAAAGACTGGAGCTCCTCTGAAGAAAGAAGAAGGAGCTTTTATCTTTGTTTCCCTTTTATATCATTCTGGCAACAATCTTCCCTAGGGTGGGTCTTCCACATTCAGAACTATACTGATCCAATTTAGTTGGGCATTTCTTACTCAAGTTGACACAACTGGTTACTATCACACTATAGAAAATAGATTCCTTTCCACCTGTATTTACTGACCTCTGACAAGTTTTATAAGACTAAGTTGAAATAAAATGATACAAAATATGTAATTCAAAGTCATATGAAGAAACAAAGAACAAAGGCAAAGATAACTACATAGGTAAATGTAAAGACAAGTACCATTGCATATATGCTTATAACTCCTGGCCTTTTCTATGTGACTTAAAAGACAAATGCTTAGAACAATAATTATAAAGCTATATTGATATACATAGTTTCTATAAAGATATCAATTGTGACAATAACAACATAGAAGGAAGATGAAGCTATAATAGAATTCTTATACTGAAAATAAATTGATATGTTTATATAAAACAAAATCTCATTACAAACATAAGAGGATTATATTCCCAAAGGGAATCAATAAAGAAAGAAACTTAAAGATTCACAGAAAAAAGTAATTAGACTATAATTATGAGTACACAAGAAAACATCAATTAATCATCAAAAAGGCAGTAAAGAGAAATTGAGAAATTAAAAGATATAATTATACAGAAAACATATAGCCAAAAATAAAAAAACAAGAAATTCTGTAAGTCTTCCCCTATGGATGATTATTTAAATGTAAATAGTGTTTTTAAAATATCTAGGATTTGTTTCAATCAGGTATGGTAAGATACAATGACAAATAATTGTCATAAAGTAAGAAGTTTTTAAAATCATAGATTCCTACAACAGTGTGTCACATAGGGCTGCATGGGGGAAACACAAGTTTCAGTCATGAGGCAGAAGGATAGGGATGGAAAGGGGGACAAGATCTCTTATTGTGATTTTCTTAGGAATGAACAGATGTGGCTGGGTAAACAGGTTTAGGACAGGCTAGTTTAAATAATTTCACTGGTTCAGGGGTATAAGGGTTTTCATTGGTTTTCTGTTACCTGCCGGTGAGGAGTTTAGAGCTCATGAGTGGAGTATGAAAGCTTGATAAAGGAAGTGGTTGGGAGTATGGGCTCTGGAATGGTTGGTTTACAAACTAAAAGGCTGCCCACAACTGAGTTGTTGGTGATCTTCAGGAATTAGCTAACCTTGAAAGGAGCAGACTCTCTTGAGTTAGCAAGGCCCCAGATTGCAAAGTATCAAATACAGAGACTAGAAAATGTTTAGAATTAAACTCTCCAATGAAAGGGCAGATAAACAGCATATACTTTGGATTTTTTTTGTTGTCATTGTTTTGTTTTTGCAGTGTTGGCAATCAAATCTAAGTCTTCCTGCATTTGAGTCAAGTAATGTACCACTAAGTCACATTTCTCACCTCTAGATATTGAAACTTTATATTTCAATTCTCAACTGTTTAAAGAGGCCTTATTTTAGATTCAAAGGTATACATAGATTTTTTTAAATTCTTTTATTGGTACATTTATGTATACAACACAATTACATTTCTCATTGGTAACTTGTACCTTTACATGATGCATCTTGGTTCTTATTTTTTCCCCATTCCTAGCCCTCCCTTC